ACGTTGGTGTTCTTGAAAGAGCTGCTCACGGGATTTTGATGTGCCACTGGGTTTACAGCTGCTGCTGCAGGGGATGGAGGGCAGCATCATGGAAGATCAAACAGGGTATTGACATGCTCAGACCTGCACTTTAGATGGACAGGTCCTAGTGGCAGGTGTAAAGGGAGGCTCAGGGTGAGGTGAGATAGGAGGCTGTTGCAGTGATTCAGGCAAGACATGAAATCCTAAACAGGCGGTGTCTGTGGGGTTGGGGAGGAGGAAGACAGAAGGGGTATTTGCCTAGAGGAGTGAGGTAAGGGACAGGGAGGAGAATAAAATGACCAGCGAACTAGAGACTGGAGTTACCAACAGAGATACTGGGAGATAGAGCAGAGGTCTGCAGGCCAGACCCACCCACGTGCCTGTTTACAGCACTTGAGCTAAGAGTGGCTTTTACATTTCTGAATTATTACATTTTTCCTGGGTATAAAAGCCTCGGTTTTGCCTTGACACGCAAACTTCAAATATTTACTATCTGAGCCATAAGGAAAATGTTTGTTTACCCTTGACTTTGAGGGCAGGCAGGTTTGGGAGCTGGAGTATGTGATGGCCATTGCTCCGCTTGAGAGTCCTTACCGTGTGGCAGCTACATACACTGTGTCCGATTCCACTTAGGAGCGGGCATGAAGACGTGCCGTCTACGGCCAGGGGGCGTGCAGTTCCCGCCAGCTTCACTGTGTAACCCGTTGCATTTTCCTTGTGTATAACGTGGAGTCATCATTTTGCATGCCAGATACTTTGCAGCATTAAGTATTAGCTATTGTATTAGGTCCCTGGGGCTGCTGTAACAAATCACCACAAGCTGGGTGGCTTAAAAAACCAATTTATTCTCTTATTCTGGAGGCTAGAAGTTCGAAATGAAGGTGTTGGCACAGCCACACTCTGTATAAAGCGTCTAGGGGAGATCCTTCCATGTCTCTTCCAGCCTCTGGGAGTTGCTGGCCATCCTTGCTGTTCTTGGCCTGTGGACTTGCCACTCCAGTCTCTGCCTCCATCTTCACCTAATGTTCTCCCTGTGTGCCCGACTCTTGGTCTCCTCTTCTTTTAAGGACACTAGTCATTCTGGATTTAGGGCCTATCCTAATCCAGTATGACCTCACCTAAACCAGTTGTATGTGCAAAAGCTATTTCCAACTAAGGTCACAGTCACAGGCTGTAGGTGGATGTGACTTTTCGGGGGGATACTATTCAACCCAGTACAGCTATGAACTTCCCCAAAGGAGTATTATCCCCATCGATAACCTTTGAAAACTGAGGCTCTGGGAAGTTAAGTGAATTTCAGGATTGCACAGCTAGTAAGAAGAACCAGAATTTGAGTTCATTTTTTGCCTTAACTTAAAGCCAGTGTTCGTTATGCTGCAGTAAGTAGCATGCCTGCTAGAATTTTTTTTTGTTCTGTGGACAGTGACAGCTATTGAAGGTCTGAAACTGAAGAGTGACATCTGAATCATGATAAAAATAACATATTTTGAGGGCTTACCATGTGCCAGGCATGATGCTTCATGTTTATATTCCTTATATTCATTTAAAGCTCATAGGAGATTTTGAGGTAAATACTCACATTATCCCCATTTTGCAGACAGGAGGTGAGCCACAGAAATTTAACTGCGAGCTCTTGGAAGTGTCCCTCCCTGATGTGCAGCCTGGCCCCCGGGGCCAGGGCTTCCGGAAGCTTCTTCCTGTTGGCTGAGTGCAGAGATGAGAGGGCTGCTGGAGTAGACCAGGTCATCTAGGCATGAGGGTGGCTTTGGAAAGTAAGCAGGTGAACTTGAGATACCTGCCAAGTAGAGTGGCCAGACTTGGTGAGGAGTGGCTCTCTTGAGGAGTCTGGAGTTACCTTCCAGGTTTTAAATTTGGTGACAGAAGGTAGTGATGCCAGGAAGAGAAATAGGGAGTTTAAGAGGAAGAGCAGGATTACAAGGAAAGATAAGGAACGGGGCTGAAGGGAGTCTTAGAAATCCTATTTTCTGGGCCTTTATTGTATTTAGTTATACTGACATTTTTGAAAATCACAAAAGCTACCTTTTGTCTTTAGCAAGACATCTTTAAATAAAAATGGATGTCAGCATGGGTCCTCTAAGTTTTTTTGTTTTATGACACACGTTTCAGGTCTTTTTAAAAATGACATATTTCTAAGTGCTTAGTTTTGTCTTTAGATGGTTATTTATGGTCTAGTTCAAGGAAGTCCAGATGCAGCCAGAGTAAAAACTCATCACCCCGGGAAACCTGGTCCCTGCCAGTATGAGGAAGCAGGAAAACCCCAGGGTCAGAGGTGTTCTTAAGTTTGAAACAGCTGATTTAGGAATTGTCCCCAGAGTTTAGTGCTCATAAAGTGCTGTGAAGTACTAGTTGTCAACCGAAGAAAGAGACCGAGCTGAAATAAAAACAAAAGCATTTATTTGGGGTCTCAGGATTACAATTCTATGAACACAGATTTGGGCAGCAGCCCAAATAGTGCCTCCCAGGGAACAAAATCCAGGGTTTTTAAATCAAAAGGGCATGGTTGTATATGTTGCATACAAAGAATTTCGTTGGGTTTTGATGGCAGAAAACCAAAGGCTGGGCTGAATATAGTTGGTTCCTAAGACTGTCACCCAGCACAGTCTCACTGTGGCAAGCTGCAGGGGTTTGGGCTGAGTCCTTGGAACACTTGTCTCTTGGCCCAGTTCACAAGTTCTTGGCCTCACGCAGTGAGGACGTGAGGACATACAGAAGGCCCATCTCCTTCATGGCCTCCCAACTGCACCTTTAAAACCCCTTGACATAAGTGACCCTCTTTCATTAACACAGTCATTGACATAAGTGACCCTATTTCATTAACACAGTCATAGTGGACACAATGGGTGGCAGCAAGGATGATGATAAATGCTGTGCTGCTCACCAGTTACTCCCCCTCCCCCCCATAGCTTATAACACCGGGGTTTACAATTATTCTAAAGTTAAAAACAAGACGTTATTTGGGAAAAATACTTGAAAGCAAGAGATCCATTCTTTGAAAATACTCTTCTGAGTACAGTGTTACCTGAGGTGCTGTCAGAAGCACTCATACAGTCCAGGACCTGGCTTCGGGTGGGTGGCTCACACCTCCCTAGTTTTTCTAAGAGCTGGTGCCACTTCCCTCTCCTTCTGCCCTGGATAGAGTGGCTTGGCTTGTCTGTTTAGCAGCTTCTGTTAGATGTTTTAGCACGGGTCTCCCTTTATCTTCCTAGAAAAAAAAAAAAAAAACTATTAAAGGCAGTTTCCAAAGTTCACTCTTCTCTTTGGTTCAGATAGGTGTTGTTGTACATCAGAGACCATCTGCACCCAAAGTGCTGGCAGCTCACCAGTATCCCTAAAGCCGCTTGATTGGTACAGACCAATATCCATGTACAGATGTCAGCCTACAAAAGAATTAAAAGAATTAGGAAATTAGGGATTGTGAGCTACAGACTGTAGGTTATCAAGTGTGTTCTCTGAATCTAAACCATTATGTGGACTTGATTCTACAAAATTCGTTGTTTTAAAAAGTTTTATTGTACATGATTATCAAGGATGTCCTTTCTACCTCATTTTATTAGGATTCTCTAAGTATAAAATCTTTAAGAAACAATACATGCTTTTATATTTGCATGGCCATAGGCAAATAAACATTTTCACCATTGTAACCAGACTCTTCTGAAGTAAAAACATACTGTGTTTACAGAGTTCTTTTGAATCTATCACCCTATTAACTTTAATACATATTTAATATTCAGTGTAAGCCGAAACACAAGGAACTTTATGTAAAATTTCCTCGCAAAGAACAGCCTATTCTGCCAAATAAGCCACAAGGGATACAATCATACGGTTTCCCTCTTCATTTTTGGAACAAGGTGAGGTGTGGGAATGTATGTGCGTGGTGAATAATAGTAATCAAATTTTGGAAGATGTGATACACTCACGTGAGTGGCTTTCGTTTATACTGTCATTCTTGCCCTTACACATCTGGTGATTGCTGAATGGAAGCTGAAAGGGTTGCTTCATTAGGATAGAATGAGACTACTACTTACTCTATCTTCAGGACCCAATCAGGCTTAGAGGGCTGAATTCTTTAAATGATTAATTTTTACATCATCAAGCAACCAATATTTTTTTTCTTTTTGCAGTTTATTATCCTTGTATCTGACCCTCTTCCCTCCTTTTTAAAATTACTCAAAAGTTCTCTTTGCCATTTATTATATTTATGAATTGAAAGTAAATTTTACATTAATTTTACCTTTGAATTTTGATAGTTCTTGACTTTTGGGACCTATAGTCCCTTCAAAAAATTGCTTTCACTGAATTGAGTTCAGTATTCCTATGGGCACTCCCCAGAGTGTATTAATGTGGTCCAAACCGGAGCCCACGGGGTATGACTTGATGCAGGAACGGAGATTTGAGAGCCTGGACGGAGGTGGTTCTTGGGCTGCTCATCCCCGAGATGAGGCTTCCGAGGGGGCCTGTTGTTGTGCCGCCCTTGTGCCTTGCGTCGGGGCTCCTCTGAGGGGCTTGGGCATGATGGGTGGGGCGGCCTCAGTTTGGCCAAGGACAAAGGGACTAACTACCTGAGTTGGGAAGCTGGGCAGACCCGTTTCCCGTGCAGCCGCACATCTTCAGTAAAGTGATTTACCGACCCTGAACTTCACTTTCTGCTCTGAAAATGGGAGTGGTGATTCCTTTCCTTTTGAGGTTAAAGAGGTCAAAGAGAAATGAGACAGGTAAAGTGCAGAGCACAGGCTTACACAGGCGTGATTCACGTATGACTCTTTTGCCTGGATGGACAGCTGTTCTGCCTCTCTCTGTGAAGTGGATGTTGGCCTTTGTTGAGATGTTTTATTCGAAAAATATAGAAAAGTAAATACTGGAGCAGAGACGGGAAAGAGTATAATCAACCAGTGGGTGGGTGGAGACCGAAAGGGAGGAAGGAAAGGGGTGGGGCAGAGGTTTAATGGGGAGTTAGCCAGGCCAGAGGGTGTGGGGACCAGTGATGAGAGGATAAGGGCAAATTGGTCACATTGACCAAATTAGCATTTTCTTTCAACGTTTTATGTGTAGGAGGGAATGAAGAAAAACAGGCCTCCTCCAGTCTTGGGCAACTTCTACTCAGCTCTAGTGCCCTTCTGCCCACCTCCTGTTCTGTCCCTCACACCAGGGCTTTGGGTTTTCTGGGACAAGGCCCTGGGAAGACAGAAATTCTAGTTAATGTTTTTGCCACATTCATGATTTCAAAATTAAATAAAGTCCTGGCTTTTTTTTTTTAAAGAGAGAAAATGTAGCCTTTGGATCCCTGTTGCTTAGTGACTAGACCTTTTGTGTAATTGGTCTAGGAGGGACAGAACCTACTGAGCATAAGAGATTTGGTTGAGGGAAGGAAGGCAAAGTTCAGGTGCCGACACTGGCTCTGGCTGAAGGTGGGAGCGGGTGGGGCAGCCAGCAAGCCCTGGGGGGGGGCCTGAGGAGGCAGAAGAGAGGTACATGAAGAGGGAAGCTGAAAGGCCACTGCAACTTCTTCAACTGAGTTGAAGCCTCTCCCCGGTTAAAATGCCTGAAGCAAATTACAGCGTTTGAGAGGTTTTTTTCCCCTGTCCCGTTTTTGCTGGGTCAAAAGTGGCCAGGAAAGTCATTCTCTCTGTAAATCAGAAGGAACGGATACAATTTAGTGTGACTGACTGCATTTGCCGGTGCATCTAGTTTAGCTGCCAGTGGGCTCTTGATAATGTGCTCATTGGCTACATGACACCAGACCTTTGCTCTCTCATTTTACGAAAACCAAAATGACACTGAAATGCTTCTTAAACAGTTTTTACTGATGGAAATAATTTAATGCTATGTAAATAATAGGATGCTTTTGAAAATGGTGCTGGCTTCCTGGATCATAATTAATCTATAAAATGAATTTGAGTCCTTTAAAGTTGTAATAGGAATGAACCCTGTCATATGATTAAATTCCTTAGTTGTAATTATTTTGTATTCTTCGGAAACATGCATAATGTAAACCCTCGGAAATTGAGCACATACGGATTATGAACCAGGACGTAGTTATTTCGTGCTTGGCTGTTTGCAGCCTGAGCATGCTTTAAAACTGTGAGATGGCTCCCATTGGAAAGATCCAAAGACACTGGTAGAAGAGGGGTGGGATTGAATTTAGGACATGAGTTCTGTGGAGCTTGGTGTCGTGATGAGGCAGGGGGCAGAGTGACTTTCTTTGAGCCTGGGCAATTGCAGCAAGTATAAAAATGAACCTGTTAGGAAGGAATTTTGCATGTGCAGAGTCAACTAACAATGCCAGAGAAGTGCAGGAGATTGGTTGATAACAGGTCCTGAGACCAGGTGAAAATGCTGGTTTAATTTTCGTGTTACTGCTCCCACTGTGGATAGGGAGGGACCCTCTTCAGCAAGAATGGGGCAGAGGCCCTGCAGGGAGTGTTAAATGGAAAGTAGTGGGACTCGCTGGCAGGTAGGGATGGGGGGCTCTTTGTCACGAAGCAGCTGTGGTACTTTGAAAGGCAGGCATGCTCACCACCGTAACGCTGCACTGTGGCACTTTGGATGAGGCACTTAGCCTCTTGTAAGATTTCGAGAATTGTACCAGAAACTCTTTCTTCTGAGGCCCTTTCAGCTCTTAAGAAAACAACAGCAGCACACACGCAAACTCTGGGAACCAGCTCTACTCTTGTCATCTCAGAATCAGCCCTCAGGGTTCCTTCTTCTCCTTTTGGAACAAAGTCTTAGGGTTATTAGTTCCTCAGTGAACTCTGTTTTGGGGAGAGATTCTAATAATTCGCCCAGCTAATTTAGTAAATTGAGTGGCCAACCGAAAGTTCATTCTTAATCTGTAAGCCTTTTTGGGAGGTGATCTCTCTGGTCCTTTCTGCCTCCTTCCACAGATCCCTGAGGCAGAGAAGCAACTGAAATGTGCTGGACTCAGCCTGGGGTCCTGGGGTGCAGCTGGGTTACTCTTGCCTGTTTGGGAACGGTCACAGGGAATGGTTGAAATAATGTTGCCTCACTTTCGATCATGCTTTTTCCTGTACTTCAAGTAGAAGAATGTATTTTCTTGCATAACTTGGGGAAGCTGCACTGTTTCATGTGTTACCTTCTTACAGGTTTCTCTTCCTCTAAACCAGAAATGTTACCCTTCTCTTGGCTGTTTATGAAGAAGAGTGCACTCACGCTGCTCTGTTGTCAGTCCCCTCCTATTTAATCTCAGTTAAATACTTGCCAACGTTTTCTTTTCTTTTTTTTTTTTAAGATTTTAATTTATTTGAGAGAGAGAATGAGAGATAGAAAGCACGAGAGGGAAGAGGGTCAGAGGGAGAAGCAGACTCCCTGCTGAGCAGGAAGCCCGATGTGGGACTCGATCCTGGGACTCCAGGATCATGACCTGAGCTGAAGGCAGTCGCTTAACCCCCAACTGAGCCACCCAGGCGCCCCTACCAACGTTTTCTTTTCATAATAAAATCTTAGTCAGCTCATATATTATTCCAGATGCAACTACCTAATGTCGGCCCATTAGCACAATAAACAGTTTCATAGTTGTGTACCTATATTCCCATTCTAAAATGCTTTTACTTCTCATCATACCTATTTTAAATTTTCTTTGGTTTTAAAACCGTTGCCCTACCCATGAGTATTGTGGGGGCTCTTGTTTAATCCAGCAGTGACCACTTTGGACCTTCCAACTTTCGGGTATGATTTCTCTGCTGTGTTCTTTGATTTCCTTTTTCTGTTTGGAAGGCAGTGTGGCGGGATGATGTTTATGAGGGGAGGGGGCTGGCAAGAGGCAGATTCCTCCTAAATTAGCCACTTAAAAAGTAGAGATTTTGAAAACCTTTGCCTGTTTTTGTATTTATTCCATGATAAAAATGTGTGTTGCCTTTGTTCTTTAGATTCTGGGCAACGTTTTTGACTTTTATTTACACTCCTCTTGGGTTTGGTAAGAAACAGTGCAGCTGAGAGAATGTTTTAATGATGCTGTCATGCCTTGTTACAGCTCTGCAGCTGGTTACAGGGAACCTCTGCTCTTGCTTCTTAGGCAGCTACAAATTAATTTTTAAAGCCGTCCTAAAAGTAGCAAGTGTGTAGTGTTGTTACTCTGTCCCAATATTTTTTTTCTCCAGGCTCTCACTCCTTAGAGGCTAACCTAGGGATTGAAAATTTGGCTATTTCCACCTTCCTTGTGATATTTAAAATTTTAAATATGAAAATGTGTGACATGTGAAAACATGTACAGATAATTCCCAGTTTGAGAACTGTCAAATCAACTCTGGGAACACAGCTGCTTATGACAAAACCCCAATTCTAGTTCTAATGAAAACTATTTCATTTACATCCAACCAGTATTTGTAGTACCATTTCTACTGGAGAACTCTCTTCCCATGTTCATCTTGACAGGGTGCAGGGTTTAGAAGCACAGTGGGTGGAGAGAGGGTAGAGGGAAGCTTTTGGGGTAGTTGTTTGTCACACCCCAAGAGTTGAAACACCCTTGCGGTTTGTTCAGATGGACAGCTTGAGCTGTTCAAAAGATGTCACTTTTTTTTCCGTTTACTCCTAGGCAGTAAACTGGTCAATTAACTTCTATAACTAGCTTACTGAATAATTCGACTTCCTGTCTCACAAAGAAGAAATCGTGCTAAACCCTTCCTATGTGTTAAAATGTATTTGGAAAAGCTAGCTGGAGGGTTGTGAGATGAATATTTAAAGCCAGAATGGTTGGGGCGCCTGGGTGGCTCAGTCGTTAAGTGTCTGCCTTTGGCTCAGGTCATGATGCCAGGGTCCTGGGATTGAGCCCCGCATCAGGCTCCCTGCTCTGTGGGAAGCCTGCTTTCTCCCTCTCCCACTCCCCCTGTTTGTGTTCCCTCTCTCGCTGTCTCTCTCTCAGTCAAATGAATAAAATCTTTAAAACAAAACAAAATACCAAAATGGCTTTCTTCTTAAAGGAAATATTAAAAAAAAAACTTTGTAAAATATTTTACAAAAGATAACATATATTTTTTAATTGGCTTAGGATGTTGTTGTCATCTTGAGCTTTAACAACCAGCTCATAGAGGGAACTGTCACTTCAACTCAGGATATATTCAGGAACTCTTAATGATTTTTTAAAAAGTATACTGCTGTCAACTTGTTTTGTTGTTAATCATCTTTCTTCTGAAGGCAGATCTGGAGTAAATCAGTTTATCTACATTTCAGTTAAAAAGGAGGTTGTTTTAAAAATTGCTCTTAATTCATGGTACAGTCTCACAACTCCTTATACATGGCACTCATTATTCTACTGGAGTTTGTACATTTAAAGTGTGCTGTTCAGTACCTTCATACCCTGTTTTGTATAGGTCCTTAACTGTTTCAGGCATGTAAGTCACCTTAAAAAATAATTTGAGCCCCCAAAACGGGAACTATGTCTCTTAAAAAAAAAAATCTCTTATATCTCCTATCACCCTGATACTGTCATCCTGATACATTATGCTAATGGATTTGAATTGCATTAAGTGGGTTAAACCAAAATTCCAAGTGGAATTGGCCTTTGGGCGCTTACTGTCCTTAATGGTTTGTTCTGTCCTTCCTAGTTTGCAAATAAAGTAATTTTTTTTTTGGCCAGGATGTCCAACTATATCAGAGCAAACAGAGGCCAAGCCTGTGTATCTCTAAAGGGATTGTGTGTTACTATTTTTGGTTGTAGTTCTTAATTTGTATAATCTTTCAATAGGATCTAAACAGAGTGAGAACAAGGGAGAGAAAGACACCTCCTTCCCTCCCATGTACTTTTGGGCTTAGATTTTTCAAAGTCATGAAGTAATGTGCTGCTTCTCCAATGTTTTGTTTTGTGGCACCTAAGTGTTGTTACAAAGACAAGAAAATCAGACATCTTATAAATATTAATTTGCTTTACAGGCACAATTACTGAATTCAGTGAGGTTAATAAGATTCCAGAGGGAAATTTTCAAAACCTATGTAGTTTTTTTATATGCTTACAAGGCCTTCTGAATTGCATATCAAAATAGAAGCCAAGGACTTCATAAGGGTGGTACAGGGGCTTCAGCCACAGGTACAGGGCATGTGGGGAGGCCCGTGGCCAAAAGGAGGACAAATAGCTGATTTGCAGCTGCCCAGCTTTTATCCCCCAGCACCCTGCTAACCTAGGACCGCCTGGCTGCCATTTTGCCCATTCAGTCTTCAATTTCTTTTCTAAATATTTCTAAATAGTGTTTGCTTTGAAGTCAATCATGCATTCACATTCCATCTCTGCATCTTACCTGGTTACCTGGCCAATTTGACACCCAAAGAGGTTGAGTAGCTTCCCCAGTTTTCTTTTCTTTCTTTTTTTTTTTTTTTAAGATTTTATTTATTCATGAAAGAGAGAGAGAGGGGGGCAGAGGGAGAAGCAGGCTCCCGCAGAGCAGGGAGCCCGATGCGGGACTCGATCCCAGGACTCTGGGATCATGACCTGAGCCTAAGGCAGACGCTTAACTGACTGAGCCACCCAGGCGCCCAGCTTCCCCAGTTTTCTTAGAAAAGAAAGAATTTTCTGCAAAAATTGCAATAGGGTTAGTGATAGTGATAGTATATGAAAAGTGCCTAAAAATATATGTATGTGTGTGTATATACCTACACACACACATACATATATTTTATACAAGTGTACTTAACAGAGTGTTACGTTAGTGTCAGGTGTACAGTATGCTGATTCAGCGATTCCGTACAGTGCTCATCAAGATAAGTGCACTCTTAATCCCCTTTATCTGGTTCACCCGTACCCCACCCACCTCCCCTCTGGCAGCCACCAGTTCGTTCTCTGTATTCAAGAGTCTGTTTTGTTTGTCTCTTTTTTCACTTTGTTTTGTTTCTTAAATTCCACATGTGAGTGAGAGCATATGGTATTTGTGTCTCTCTGACTTATTTCACTTAGCATTATACATCTTCTTGCTCCATCCATGTTGTTGGAAATGGCAAGATTTCATTAATTTTTATGGCTGAGTAATATTCCAGTGTGTGTGTGTGTGTGTGTGTGTGTGTGTGTGTGTCACACATCTTTTTAATCCATTCTATCAAGGACTTTTCAGGTTGCTTCCATATCTTAGCCATTGTAAGTAATGCTGCAATAAACATAGGGGGGTATACATATCTTTTCAAATTAATGTTTTCATTTTCTTTGGGCAGATACCCAATAGTGGAATTACTGGATCATGTAGTAATTCTGTTTTTAATTTTTTGAGGAACTGTACTGTTTTCCACAGTGGCTGCCAATTTGCATTCCTATAAACAGTGTATGGGGGTTCCCTTTTCTCCACATCCCCACCAATACTTATTATTTCTGTGTTCTTTAGTCATTGTGACAGGTATAAAGTGATAATTTATTGTGGTTTTAATTTGCATTTCCCCTGATGATGTGTGATGTTGAGCATCTTTTCATGTATCTGTTGGCCATCTGTATGTCTTTGGGAAAATGTCTGTCCAGGTCCTCTGCCCATTTTTTAATTGGATTATTTGGTTTTTTGGTGTTGAGTTGTAGAAATCCTTTATGTATTTTAGATATTAACCCCTTATCAGAAATATCATTTGCTGGAGTATTATGCAGCCATCAAAAAACCCCCGAAATCTTGCCATTTGCAACGACATGGATGGAACTAGAGGGTATTATGCTAAGCAAAATAAGTCAATGAGAGAAAGACAAATATCATATGATCTCACTGATATGAGGAATTCTTAATCTCAGGAAACAAACTGAGGGTTGCTGGAGTGGTGGGGGCTGGGAGGGATGGGGTGGCTGGGTGATAGACATTGGGGAGGGTGTGTGCTATGATGAGCGCTGTGAATTGTGTAAGACTGATGAATCACAGACCTGTACCTCTGAAACAAATAATACATTATATATTAAAAAAAACAACAACAACAAAAAACAGAAGATAGTAGGAAGGGAAAAATGAAGGGGGCGGAATCAGAGGGGGAGAACCATGAGAGACGATGGACTCTGAGAAACAAACTGCAGGTTCTAGAGGGGAGGGGGTGGGGGGATGGGTTAGCCTGGTGATGGGTACTAAAGAGGGCACGTTCTGCATGGAGCACTGGGTGTTATATGCAAACAATGAATCATGGAACACTATATCAAAAACTAATGATGTAATGT